CCTTAAAGATAAATGGAAGGTAAGATATAGGTCTATAATTGGCTAAAATATCTGGGTCAAGGTTGGGCTCTTTCAGAAGAGGTTTAATTACAGCTACTTTGATTGATCACATTATTAGAGAGGTGCTGATTGAGGGTAAGACTTATTCAAGCACCCTAGTTGGGATGGGGTCCAAGAGGCAGGTTGATGGTTTGGGTAAAGAAATGACTGTAGTTAGTTGGTAAAGATTGAGGGAAGCAAAGCAATCAAAACGTTAACTGGTTTACAGCTGTTTCTAAGGTCCCTGAGTTTAGAGATAAGTCGGTGCCAGTTGAGGGCAAATCCTATTCAGATTGGAGCTTTTCTTTTTTTGGAGACAAGACAGCAGTGGTTCCAAGTAGATCTTCAGGAGACCTGGTGAAGTGTGTACCACAGGTTTGGATTTTGTGGCGCTGCATTAAAATATATTGAAATCCTGTGTATTTTGGTAAATCATAATGCAGGAGTTGGTGACTCAGTCAAAAGCTGATGATAAGCAGTTGTGACAGGACAGGACAGGACAGGGACATGCTGGCCCTGGTGGTTTAGTTTCTACCACTTTTAAGTTCTAGTCTCTAGTGAGGCTAGTCTTTGTACCAGGAGACAGGAAGTGTCCTACCTTTAGCGAAAGGACTTGTATAGGGTTGAGTGAGGGGACAGTGGAGGTACAGAAAAGTATGCAGACTCGGCATCTCAGTCTGACAAGACCTTTTTCTAGTTTGAACAGTTAGAGGGAGAAGCTAGAGGAAAAGAAAGTATCGCCCTACCATAAAAGGATCATGCTAAGATAACTGCCATTTTACAGGACTTGTGAGGGTCTGCAGAGTCTTATGTCTTTTTGCAGGTAGCTTTCTTTTCCAGGAAGCAGCAAGAAGGAGAAACTCTTCAGGAGTTGTTGAAAGGGTGAAGCAGCATGAACCTGCTGACATGCCAAATGCTGAGACTCTATTAAAAGACCAATTTGTTGAGCATGTTTTAGACTGCTCCCTGTGGTGTGAGTTGAAGCAGTTTGTGACTACACCTTGCACAATGTGCGGGTAGAAGTGATCCGTGGGGAGCATGAAGGCTTACCTGATAGTTTGAGATGCCGCAGTCAGTCAGTCCCCTCAGTATATGGTGTTGAATATGGTGTTCACAGTGCCCCCCCCCCCCTAGCTGTTTCATCTGTAGCATTTTAATGAAGTATGGGAGATGTTGAAGCATCAGCAGGATGAATCAGGAGCAGCTGAATCAGGATTGCGAGTATTATCCAGCTGCAGTCTCCCACAGTACCGTCGTCCACCTCGCACAGGTCCCCTTGTGTGCAGGCATTGTAATCAGCCAGAACATTTTGAATGTGATGGCAAGCGTGCTCCCCCTCGTTCTCAGGTGTCTTCAAGACCTCCATCTAATCCTACTTGTCAATCTGATTCTCCCCAAGGGGCGGGTAATCAGTGTCCACCAAGCTGCTGACCAACAGATGTGGTGCTGCCGTCACTGGCTCGCAGTTTGTTTCAAGTAAGTTGGATGCTGCTGGGTTGATCTCACCATTTTGATGTGGACATGGGTGGAGTGAATGTTCCTTTTTTGGTCGACACTTTTTCCATGGTGTCTACTGCATCTGAGCGCTTTTTTCATCAGCATCTGTATCCATGGGCTCAGGAGTGCCTGATGTAATTGGTTGGAGCTTCTCAATGTTCTACCAACCCCTATCATTGGTTATTTGGAGCTCGATTTGAAACTCTGTGACAAAGCGATGCCTTGCTGTGGTGTTTTATGTTGAGAGACCTCCTGGTGGTCAGCCAGCTGGTGTTCCTGGTGTCTTGGGGATGCATGTTACTTATAAATGTTACCAAAAAAAACAAAATAAGTAAATGTTACCAAGAGCTTTTTGAGCCACATGGTTTTTGTCAGTGATGCTCCTAGTTCACTGGCGCAAGCCCTGTAGCAGTGCTGTCTTTGGACAGTCCAGGGAAGGTAAAGGTAAGGGTTAGGAAAGCATGGTGGACATCTGGTGGTATGAAGATTGTGGTAGACATATGCGCAGTATTTAAATTCTACTGTACTTTTTGAAGCTTTGGACCGTGGTTTGCCATCTGGGTTCCTTGCTTCTCTTGCTGTGGTCCGAGTAATCAGGGGCACAGCCTACATACCAGTAATTATTGTTGGTTCCACTGAGGGTGTCTTGTGTCTCCACACTGCTGTTGGTACCCTGGATGTTGTAAATGTCAGGTTTCCTTCAGGGGTAATGGAGGTGCTACGAGTTTGGGCCACCATGTCCTTCCAAAGATTTTTTTTTCCCAGTGTGCAGCAGCAAATTTAGGGTATAGACCTATTGTCCTTGTCGACTGGGGAACAATGTCAGGTGAGGTTGTTGCTTTAGCAACAAGTATAACTGTGTGCTGCATTTCCTCACTAGTTTTGTTTGTGTGTATTCTAAAATTACATTTTTTTGCCATTTTTCCTTTGTCTCATTCCATCAACTTGTCACGGGGGTGTTAATTAGCTGGGTTTTTTTGGTCCTGTCTCCATGTGGTCTAGTCATTTCCTGTTTTATTTTGATAAGTAACCCTCCTCTCGTTTCAGGTCACTTGCATTTCCTGGTGTGTCATAGCTCCAATTGTCTTCCTGATCACCTATTGTGTTCACCTGGGGTTCCCTTCCGCTCATGTGTTAAATAGTCCACGTTTCCCCTCGTCTTGTGCCAGTGTGTTCCTCCTTTTAAACATTTGTGCCAAAAAAGAAAACAATAGTACATATTCTTGGTTGTTTTCTTGCAGTTGTTTTGTGGCTCTATGGATGTGGGGCTCCATTGCAGGGGCTTCCTCTGTGGTGTCCTAGGTGGATGCGCAGTTGTCTTTGGTGGGCTTCTGTGCCCACGGGTTGAGTGCTTGCAGACTGGGTCTTGGGGTCCTCTCTACCTCTTTTGGATCGTTCAAAGGGTTGGTGGTAGCAGGTGGCCCCTTTGCATATAAAACTGATCACAATCTGCACGAAACCTGTGCTGTGTGTTTTGTTCACACGCACACATTAGTTTTCCCAGACACAAGCCTCTTTTAGCTTCTTTAAAGTTGCTGCACAGTCCTGAGACTTCGACTTTCAATAAGGATCTACTTCCTTTTCTGTGTGATTTCTTGGTCTTTTGCTCTCCCTCTTTCTCTGTCCCTCTGTCAAATTTGGCATTATTCGCTATATTTTAAGTGTCACAAAGAATATCTATTGGGTGAAAAATGGGGCTTTTCACCCATCGAGATTCCCATGGCAAAGCAAATAGGTTCTGCATAAACACAAGTTATGAGTCATGAGCTAGACTTAAAGATACTGTAAATGGAGGAAATGGATTTTCAATACATTTTTGGATAGAAAAGGACATTCCATTCTATTGATTGTTCGAAACACATCATAATTTTAAGATCCAATTCAATCAGTTATTGTCATACATAAATTCATGTTAATTCTATATGCCTACAATTTTGACTAGTTCACTTAATCTCATAATTTCTGATTATTTAATATAAATAATCAAGAAACTAAATCTCAGGATTTCTTTCCAGTGTGCCTGACTTATCAGTAGTGGCCTTATTATAAGACTGGCAGGAAAGTGACAGTTACAGTATTCAACCATGTTATTCCATTATAATACTGGTATGTTAAGATAAGTGTGCATATTAGGCGCATATATTTCATATTATGTTACCATTTTCCCCCCTTTTTTCCCTTCATCATCCAGGAGCATCTTTTTTTTCATTTAATTGTCTGGCTGTGTGTTGTAAGCTTTTACTTTCTGCATACTATACCATGCAAGCTTTGTACCGTTTTTTTTTTGTTTAAATAGAAAAATGAAATAACTAAAAAAATTACCTAAAACTCAAGAAACTTGATGCATATTTTGCTGTGACTGTCACAAAAAGTGCTAGTGGTGTGGTGAGAAGATCCAATATCAAAGGGCCAGGGAAGAAACACAGGAGGGGGGGAAACAAAAATACTCAAGAAAAACTCAAATCTATTTACAGGGAATCACAAAAAGCACCAACTGAAGCCTGACATAATAATACAACTGGGATAAGCGCCAAAAACCTAGAAATAACTGCACAAATAACAGCCCTAAAGAGACATGAAGACTCACTGGGATGAAGACAAGGTTTATTAAACCAGAGGATCCGATGATGATCTGGCAAAGACTGAAATGAACTAACAAGTTTATTGAGAGGAAGTAGTAATTAGGTGAAGAAAAGGAGGAGACAAAGGGAACACAGGAAAAGTGAGTTGAGTTGATAACCAAAGCTGGGACTGAGGGAAGAAAAATAACCCAAACAGATACAAGGGGAAAACACGGGAAACTGAGAAGAAAACCAAAATAAAACACAGGAAACCAATGCTCAGGAGAAAAGAAAAACACTAAACCAAAAGCCAAAACTCTGAACAAAAACCCAGGACCCGGACAATTAAAGTGTTAATATCAAACACTTTCAAATGCTTTGGCAATTTGCTGGCGAAGAAGCCGACTGTATTTAGGGACACCGGCATTAAGAACCGGCTCTTTAAAGGATTTGGAATTCCAACGATGACTAAATCTGCTGTGCGCAGACCGCAGACGCGTCTCATCTGACCGGACACCCCACAGCCGGTGTTCTGTCAGGTCAGCATACCCGTCAGACCAGCATACCCATAGTTAATACGCATGCGCTACCTTTAGCAGAACTCTAAGAGAATAACATTGACGAAGTTTACTAGACTACTTTATTTATGCGTAATATGATAAACAAAAGGTAGTCTAAGGTAAACACACAAACTTACCAGCAAACCACACCGAAAGTCCCTGGAAAATGACAGGATATAAGCAAATAAGATACGTGGCAAATTTGTACATCAGGCGTGTATCCCTTTTGTTATGTACAAAAAAATAATTGAATTACTTACTTGGTGTTTTTCGAATGGTATGGCGATCTGACGGATTTTCCCAAGTGTTCGCAACTTTTCGCAGTAATACACATGCGCAACCATGTTCGCGCATGCGTAAGACTATGGGCATGCTGGTCTGATGGGGGTATGCTGACCTGACTGAACACCGGCTCATGGTGGCTGTGGCTGTCTTTTGTACAGTGCGCTCCTGGTTTTATTCACCGATATTAAGATGGAAATACCAGATTTCGACACCTTGAACGTAACGGCGCAGCCCGCGCCTCCTGCGCACCCGCTGTGCGCGGAGTGGAGAGACGCTGCGGAGGGATCCCTGTTCCACCTCGCCAATATCTTGCTTTTTCTGGGCTTCATGGGCGGCAGCGGCTTTTACGGGCAGCTCTACATGTTCGCGTTTCTTACCCTGGGCTTTTTTTGTGCCACTCTGTGGGCTTGGTCCGACTTCTGCTCCAATGACTTCTTCCTGTGGAATTTTGCGCTCTTCTGCGTGTGTTTGGGTCAAGCCCTGGGTGTCGTGTACAGGCTGAGAAAGCTCTCCTTTGGCAAAGACTTCGAGGAACTTTACAACTTCATGTTTAAGAGGCTGGGAGTGTCACTGACACATTTTGGGATGATAGTTGAGTCCAGTGAGGGAGACGCGAGCATCCTTGAGAAGGACCATTGCTTTGCGGTCGAGGGCAAAACCCCCATTGACAAGCTGTCTGTACTCCTCTCTGGCAGGTGACCCCCACATTGTTGTCCTCCTACTTCAGTCCCATTTGTTTATTGCTAAAAATAAAAGCATCATTTCCCAACAAAAGGTTGATTTTCTCTGAGATAAACTATCATCTCAGAACAATATATTGTATTTAAATTGACCGAGCCATATTGGATTAATGTACAGTAGGTCCTGAAAATAATGTGGTTGCCTTTTGCCATTTTGTCATGATTTCACAAGCACAGTTTGTCCGTAACTTTTCCTTCATTCTCCCGCAGAATTCGTGTGACAGTCAATGAAGAGTTTCTCCATTACATCTACCCGTACCAGTTTCTGGATTCACCTGAATGGGACTCTCTCAGACCTACAGAGGAGGGTGTTTTCCAGGTTCACTTCATCTTTTGAGCATAAAAAGAAACTGATAACTCAAAACTGACAATTCAATAACTCCTCTCCAGAAGGATGTACATTTACATGAGTTACATACAGTTTTTGAGGATTTGTTCTTTACTTTATTAGCTTTTTGTTCTCGTAAAACTTCTTACATTCATTTTAAATTTAATATCGTATTTTTCCCCCCTCTACATGTCCGTAAAGGCTTTTGCTCCTCATTACTCCTGTTTAACGTGTTTGTTAATGTAGTTTGCGTTTATTATTTCCCACTGACACACTGTAAAATTACACACTACACACCTATACAGTAGATGGCGATATGGACCTTTAAACCCACAGGGAGGAAAGGAAGAATGTTTTTCTTACAGGTACATTGACTTCTTCTGGAAGGATATTTAATGTTATAAATGTATATTATGCATTAAAAATGAGCTACCTCTTCTGTTCATAGGAATTCGCGGTGAACCCAGATAGTTGCCAATTACTATCTTCACCCCAGCGAAAACTTGCCCATGGAAAAATATGTTAGTTTATGTTCACACTGGAGCCTGTAGTGACCCAAATCTGAAGGGGTTTGAGTCACTGAAAATACAAAACTTCTTCTAAGGGTTTAATCATGTGATATCATGTGTGCAGCATCTGGTCTGTGGGACATATTACCTTGTTAGAAATATCTCCGATCGGTAATATTTGTTAAAGGTCTAACCTCATCTCTGGTTAACTCTACACAGGTGACCCTGCGTGCGGATGTCCCCTGTCGATACATAGCATGGAGGAGGAAGAAGCTCTACCTGCTTTTTGCAAAGCACCGTTACATAGCAAAGATCTTTGCCTTGGTTGTACGCAACGACATCGCTGAAAAGTTGTATTCGCTGAATGACAAGGGCTATGATATATCGGGACATCGCTATGATCTCCGGTTACCAAGTTTCTGCCATGTGCCAGGGACAGAATTAGAAAAGGCAAATGACCTCCTGCAAGTGCCTGTGCAGAGTGGAAAGGACTGAACACACATGCGCCCACATGCACACACCCCTGGACTAAAATGTATGCTAACTGACTCTTAATACCCTATTTAAAAAAGCCCTTTTACAACAAATAAAATTGAACATTCTTGGCATTTGTATTTGATCTTTTGTTTTATTTTATGAGTCGAATAAACAATGACAAGTATGGCCGAGGACCTGTGCTTGAAATCAACAGAACACTGCTCTCAGCCTATAAAGGCAACGCCAGACTGTGGAGTCTATTTAAGGGAACCAGCCCCGAGCCATCCAGAGTACTCGCTTGGTGTAGCTTTATCAAGCTGTTTGAGCAGTGAGCACAAGTCAAGTGGAGGAGCAAGTCAGTTTATTATTTTCTAGTTCCAAAAAGACAGACATGTTTCAATTAGTTAATTAGTAATATTCTGTGAGATTTACAGTCTTACGTTAAAGAAACTTTGCAATGTCATGTCAAAATATAATGGAAGAAATGGTGCCTACAGCCTTAATTTTTTTAGCATGGTTACAAATTCACAAAGTAATTATAATGGCTTACACATCATACATTTATCTTATAAACTATGTAAGTATAAGCAGGTATGTCCAATAAGTCCATTTGCTCTAGTTTCTTTTCCCTGGAGAATCAACTCAGTTCAATAGTACTAGTTAGTCTTTGTGGTTTGGCAACTCTTGAGTTAATGAGGGTATGTGCTGTACTAACATCCAGTACAGGAGAACTTCCTCAGCAGACAACATGAATAGGTAGAAATTCACAGATAATACACCTGATGGTTATAGAAATGTTTTGGGGTTTGGTTAGCTCGTCCAAACATTCTGACTCGAGGTTTGTAATGATCTGTAAACATAGTTCGGGTGTAATTTTCCATCATGCCTCATGCTGCTGTGTGTACAGGGTAAATACTTTCTTATGTATTGCAAGGAAACTGAAACTAAACAGGAGATCTGTCATATTGGAAAAAAACCTGTCTATATCTTTGCATTAGTATCAACATTTTTTTTTTTATTGCTGCTAATGTTGTTGCTATCATTGTTTTTTTTTCTGCTCATTTTGTGTCTTTGCAGTTACCCAGGATTATCTTTCCCTGGTTTCTCCAAAGTGAAAGCATATTTTTTTACACAGCTGGTTTATTGGGTTTTGTAAATCAGTTCATTGTATTTTCTCTATTTTGGGTTGTCTTACCTACTTTGCCCTCACTGTCATCTTTTTTTGGATGACCCTATTTAGGTAGGATGTTCTACCAGTAGGTGTTAGTGAACCTAATTTTCTTTACATTTTTCCATTACCTGGTGATGATTCTATGAACAATCCTGGTGAGCTGCATCCAGACATTGAGAAACATGCTATGCAAAATGGGTTTGTGCTTCAAACTTTCGCTTCGATTGATAGAAAAACAGAATTCAGCAGATAATGAATTATGGATACTACTTTCACAACCCAGAGAAGTAACAGAGTTGATCTGTTCACCTGTCATTTAAAATGGTCACATAAAAAGTCCTTAATGATGAATATTTGTATTTCCTTATCCAGAGCTTATTTTTCACTTCAAGTGACTTATTCTGAAGTCACTCAAAGAGATTTATTCTGGTTGTACTGAAACAATATTGTTGTACTGGGGCGCTGGTTCAATGACAATAAATCTACTAAATAAATTAAATTAAATTATTATTCATCTTTGGAAGTTATGATTTGAAAGTGAACATGCAAACTTTAAACAGTGTGCAAAAAATAATAAATTCTCAGACCCTCTCAGAAGGCATCAGCTTCTTTAGGCTTGTCTGAATACTGGAAATTCTCAGAATTTAATTAAATTGAATTGATAATTCAAATGATAATTCAAATGGTGACAGTTGCTTTGAACACTACCGTGCTCAAAATGCTCAAAATGTCCAATATGTTCTCTCCAAGGATACAGAGATGGCTCCCCATGTTGTCCCATGAACGAATGAGTTCATACTTCCTGCAGCTGTTAGGGTTAGGGTTAGGGTTAGGCTTTTTGAAATAGTTTTTGCTTAACAGCCATCTGCTGCACTTGCTGATGTTGAGAGGACTCTCACTCTGCCATCAACACCACCTTTAGTACTGCATGGAATGTGTTCAGAAAATTCACTTTAAAACACGAACATATTTGTAGTTATCCCTGTGAAGTTTTTAATTTTAATCAAATGTATAGTAAATCAATAAGAATTGTAAAAATTGAGACAAATAGGATTCTAAATGTAGCCCATGACTTTTACAGTACCTTGCATGCACACCAGATGAACTCATCCAGTTGATTGTATCTCATTCAATTCATAGTGATTTTTCAAGGAAGATTTTTAAGTAGGGTCATATTTTGAGGGGTTGAATGTTGGAATAGTCGCTACAATTTTAAATCTCCTCCTTCATTTCTTAGCCTGGTTCTTTTCTGTAGAATTAGTGACAAGTACATGTTCCTTTTGGGTAAACTGACTTCGACTCACAGATAGATAATGTAACACATAAATGGTAAATTACTTTGTTCATTCCACAGTTGTAATGTCTTTGTGTCGGTCAGTTATAGAAAGTCAATCCATTCACTCAGTATCCTATTCGATGTCACAGGGGGTCTGGAGCATATCCTACCTGTCACATAGTGATAGTAGAGAATGTCCTTAATAGATTCATAGTCCATCACAGGGCCAAACAAAGAGGAAACAAGAAACAAGAGGCAACCATGTACTCTAACCGTCACTAGAGTCTCACCGTTAAAATACCCTCTAAAATCTATATATCAATATATATTTATGTATCTAAATCTATATATAAAGGTATTTTAACAGTAAAACAGTGCTAAAAACCAAAGACCAATGGCCTCTGATACAAACCAACATTGTTCCCAGTAATCTGTGATCTCTTTCCCTCTGCTGGAGGTTTTTGACACTGCTCCTTCCTGCTGGCCCATTTTGGTCTCTCCTTGTCAGTGCTGTGGAATGTGCAACACACATTGTACAGACCAGTTTTTGAGAGTCTGTTCTGCTGATAGCAGGGACGATTTGAGTCGTTCACAGAGACTAGGCCTCTTCTTTGCTTTTCACCAGCTGCTGCTCAACTGGTAAGACTTCGTATTTTCCTCCTGCTACTTATGATATACACATGATTCCGTATGCACGAGTGCCTCCAAATCTATTTTTGTATATGCTTCCCATTGCTGACCACAAGAGCATGGAGTGGAAAACACAAGGGGCTAATCTTATTAGTAGTAGTTTGTTGTTGTGCTGAAAAATTTGAATGAATGTGAGCAACAGTCTAACTTTAATATACGTTTAGGGTTGCCTGGAATAAGATGTAATGATATAACAATGCTGTACAACATATTGCCACCTCAACTTTATAACTAAATCTCAAACAATATCCATGTGAACAATTTTGTGAACAAAACTTCATAAAGTGAGTTGTGTTTGTTTGATGTAACGCTGACATAGAAGAGAAAACTCAGTTCTCTTACTTTTTCTGTCTTTGCAAAGAGCTTGTTTGCAGAAGTAATGTGCAGACACTGCCCTATGCACTGTCCAAAACAACCAATTTGATGTGAAAACAAAAACAGAAAACGTCCTTTATTCCAGGAAAATGACCAGGTTTGCGACGCCCTTGTATTAATTATATGGTTTTAGCAATTCCAATTGCCCTTTCATCTCATTAATGTTATTTTAAAGGGCATAATTACACAACTGTTAGCATTAATATCCAAACAAAACCTAAATGAACCCAGCTATTTTAAAGAAAATGTTAAATGTTAAGTTAGTATTTCAAATAATAGTGTAGTATAAGAAAAAAGAAATTTCGAATATGCTTTTTTAAAGCTTTGCAGAATTAATAATCCTGGACATTTCTTTTGCAACTTTACTCTTAACTTTCAGGTGATCCTACAGCAAGATGTCGTCTATTCCTGAACCACCACCCACCACCTACACCACATTGCTCACGTTCCCCTCACCCACTTCAGGGATGCCGGTGATGGAACTAAATTCCACCTATTGTGAGGAGTGGGAGCAAACCCACCATTTGCTCTTCCATCTTGGAAACTTGTCTCTGTTGCTGGGCTTGATCATCCCGACCACTCTTGGTCTGCACATGATCCTTCTTCGCCTCCTCCTAATGACAGGTCAGTCTGAAGTCCCTCCTCCCTAACACCTCACTCTCCCCAGGGCAAGACATTCCGTGGATAATACTGTAAAAGGAAATATTTGGGAGAGCTACAGTTACGACAACTTTTATTATACATTGCACAGTTATCAATGGGAGTGAAATCCCTTAAATTAAAGTGTCCATTGAACTACAACAGTGATGAATCATCCCCAAGAGCTTGTACAGGATTTTGGTTGCCATATAAAAACATATTAAAACATATAAAAGTTCTTGAAAAACTGATCTAAACAAAAAGGAATCCCACGCTCAGAGCTTCTCCTTAGGCTTTGAAAAGTGCAAGATGCACACATGACTGAAAGGGGGGTGGGGGAACATTTCCAATTTGTTTATATTCTGGTCTAGAGGAGAGGCAGGAAGTGCCATGAATCATGGGAAATGTGGTTGTAAGTTCATTTATTTATATTCTCTGTTGGCGCAAGAGAGCCTTGCAGATTAAACGGACTAAACCAGAAAGGGGAAAAATAACTCAGAAGAACGGCGACACTTTATCTTGCAAGGCAGCTTCGAAAATGATGGCTTTGTTTAAAAAAATAGGAATTAGAATATGTGTGCCATCCTGTCTGTCAGCCGTTCATCTTTTCAACTATTTTGAGAGTAATACTCTACCTCAATAACATTTCCTTTGCTATAAATCGTCAATTTGTTAGTAATGTTTCTTAAGACTTAAAGAAGAACTTCTGTCAGTTAAATTATATTCTATTTAAAATCTACAGTATTCACAAAGTTTTCAGACACTGAATTTTCACCAAATGGATTGATTTATTTTCTAATAAACTGAAACAAATGATTAGAAAAGTGCTTGTATATCAAAAGGAATGAAATATAGGATTAATAATAATAAAACTGACAAAGCACACTCATACATTTATATAGTGAATAAGAAGTTTTAGCAATAAGTCCAACAATGTTAAAAGTAAGTGAGCACTCTTATGTACATATGTACAATATATACACCCCAGAATAGTTTTATTCTAAATACAAGAAGAAAAGATGTCATATTTTCCTTCCAGGAGAAAATCCACAAAAAAATCTGGTGCTCCCATTCAGCCTGTTATTAGGTACATGGCTGTTTGTGAAGAGCAGTGAGGCTGCTATCACACCTCTGAAGGAGGAATGAACCGTGCTTGGCAACATAGACCTCTTGCTGCACAGTCTCTCCAACAATCCCAGATACACACCGGGTTGCTTTTGTCACACTTGACCTCACTGGGTCTTGCCATAAACTAGGACTTAAAACATTTCAGTCATGGCCCTTGATCTAAACCAGGGGTCTCATACCCAGGTCCTCTGGGGCATTTACTTACAATACTTGGATCTCTTCCAAACATTGTGAAGCTCCATGCAAACCTACTTATGGCGTATGGATATGAATCAGGTGTGCTAAAGCAGGGAAGCATCTAAGCCCTACAGAAAAGTGGCCTTTGAAGACTTGAGTTGGACACCTATTTTCTAAACAAAGCCTTTGTCTCTGTGGGGTTGTTAGGAGCCTTTTGGGTATGTCTGGCAATTTTTATGCAGAGGACTGTTGCTGAAATTCAGGCTTGTCAGGCTAATTATGCTGGTGACATCATTGTTGATTGCGCTCCTGAAGAGATTCAATATTGCTGACAATGGGTGTTGCTAAGGGAGCTGCTCTACATTGGAAGCTTGTCACTATGGATTCGGCCTTGACATAAACTGTCTGGAGCTTGTGTGTGGTTGACACTGAAATATTTACTGCCCTTCCAGATGGTGCAGCATCCTCTGGTCAGAACTTACAACTCCATGTCAATAGCCATGAGGACTGCATGCACATGTTGACTAACAGACTGATTGTGTGGAGCATCTCTATTGACACTGAGACCCACTCATGTGCACGGCATATTGAAACCAGGGGAGTCCACAGCCATATGGAGAGCAAATACAGACCTCTCTGTGTCAGAAGCTCGATTCCTGCTGATTAACTCCCTGACCAGTCAAAGTGCACCACGGGGATTGGACACCTTAGTCCACAAGTGGTCCTAGCTCTTTGCTGGGATCTCCTATCATTGGTGTGCAAAGAGATTCTTAAGCATCAACTCCAAAAGCAAGGCCCTATGGACTTGGCGCATGAGAGGTTGAATACTTCCGGCACTGGGCTTGTTATTGACACCATACCACGTATTCAAGTAAATGGAACAATGAAACAAAACCTGCTGGAAAAAAGCCTGGCTGTCAAAGTGTGTTTTCCCGCTGTATCAGTTTGCTATTGTAGTTTGTGAATTTTCACCAGCATCGATGCATCTATCAGTTCAAGAATGGAGCATGGCACCTTCTCACAGGGACAGAGTTTGATTGCCCCATGGTATTTACCAATGGCTCTTGACACACTTTCTGACCCACTATTCGAACCGCTGTAGCACATTGAGTTTAGAATACTCTCTTTCAAAGTGTTTTTTAATAACTGCTGTCCATTCTTTGATTTTCATTTCCTTTAGTAATATTCATTAACTAAAACTTGATTTATCTTGTTCTCAATCTTTGTTTTTTTTTACAGGTTGCAGTCTCTTCATTGCATGGGCAACTCTTTACAGATGCAACCTAGATGTGATGGTTTGGAATGTGGTCTTTCTAGTTGTCAATTTCCTGCACTTGTTCTACCTACTGTACAAGCGAAGACCGGTAAGTTCTCCATCAGCGAGCCCCCACTGGGTCTCTACTCACTGAGTTATATCAAATGTATGTGTGCAACAGTCAATGTGGTCTACATACTGTGTGAGGCCTCAGCGTAAACTTTTGCCTCAATTGCCTGGTGCAAAGCATCATGTCAAACTAGGTTTAGTTCTTCTTTGTAGTAATAATAAGTCATTTTTTAAATCAAATATAGGGAAAGCATCAGGAGCTACATATAAATGAGAGGAGTCAAACAAATTAGCACATGAATGCAATAGAGGTGGAGATCTGCTCCTTTTCCCAGCTTTGTTACCACTTCACCTGTTTTCTGAAAATATCATTACATACACCTGTGTTTGTTTTTTGGCCTGCCAGAAAACTGAATTATTGTGGTTGTGTGTCAGATTAAGATTGACAGGGAGCTACGGGTGGTCTACAAACGAATGTTTGAGCCTCTTCATGTGCCAGAGGCGTTGTTTCAGAGGCTCACAGGACAGTTCTGCAAAATCCAGACAATAAAGAAAGGCCAGGCCTACGCTGCAGAGGACAAGACCTCCGTAGATGAACGTCTAAGCATCCTGCTGAAAGGAAGGTATGTTCTCTTTATTTGATTGTTTTTTGTCTGACTTCTGTTGAGTTTAATCAAATCACCATATGAGAACTGTTTATTTAGTATTGAGATACTTTAAAGGGCTTTTTTGTTAAATCAGTAATTGCATAATACCATGCAATGACTATAACTTTCTCCCCATGTTTCACCATTAATGGCACACCGACTGCCGTCTTTTTAATACAAAAGACATGACAACAATTGGAAAAAGGATAACAGTTTTATTTTAACAAATTTTGACAGAATGAAGGTATCATACCGAGGCCATTTTCTCCACAACATCTATACCAATGCATTCATCGACTCTCCAGAGTTCAGGTCCACTGAGATGCACAGAGGAGAGAAGTTTCAGGTAAAAGAAACAGATTCTGAAACTTACATAGGTTTACTTTGACAAATGTTTTAAAAAGCTTGTCACGGGGCCTGAGAGATCTCTAAATTCTCAAGATGCCAATGTGACGTGATCTGTGGATATCAAGTCTTAGAAATGATGACCATTCCCACACCATATAGGGCCAAGAGCTTTATTTACTGGTTCTGGTAGAAGACACTCTAGGATACCTTTGAATGTTCGTGCTTTGACTGGTCAGAGGTTGTTTGCGGCATGAACAGTGGACACTAAATAGGGCAGTTGATGAGGCTGGTGTTAATGAATTTGAACATAAGCTCATTCCAGCAGTTTACCATTAGGGGTTTAGTGATGCTCTAAAGTGACACGTCCAGGGTTATACACACATACATTGAAGCCTTTCATACATTGCCTTTACCCGTTGTCTGCAGTTTTTATTAACACATGTTGAACTTTGTTCTTCCAACCTTTAAATTTGAATGAAAGATCTATACGGTTCATCCTTTTAAAGAATAATGCAATGTATTTGATTTACAGGTGACCATTGTAGCAGAAGAGAATTCAAAATATCTGTGTTGGTCTCGAGAGAGGCTCACGTACTTCCTGGAATCAGACACTTTCCTCAATGAGGTGTTCAGGTACCTCATTGGCAAAGACATAACCAACAAACTGTACTCTCTGAATGACCCCACACTCAGTGATAAGGCAAGTCAAACTTCATGGTTAAGTGATCATTTCTTTATTTATATTGCAAGAAGAGTTGGTGTGAATGGAATTATGCAAATGTTTTTATGGCAAAAACACTGCTTATTTAGTGGGCCGATTGTGTTTAATTATTGGTTATGGGTTTTTCATAGGTTGTAAAGAAGATGGACCGTCAACCCAGCCTCTGCTCTCAATTGTCCATGATGCAGATGAGAAACAGTATGGCAAGCACCAGCGACACTGATGATGTCCTTCACCAGATCCTACGAGGGGGATCGGCTGGATCATCAACTCGTAAGTCTAATCAATAGATCAGCAAAATCTCTGAAATTTGAATAGCTGCTTATGTGATACAGGTGTTCAATCAAAGTTGGTAAAACATTCTCGTGTTTCCCTACCATCATTGTGGTTTTCTTGTAAATGCATTTGATTTTACATTCTTTATTGTACCAATGTGAAATGATCTATGGATATCAAGATATCGATATGTTTAATGTTCTTCTTCAGTCATGCCTTCAAATCTTAAATAAGGACGAACCACTACTTTTTTCCATCTTCCTCTGAAACGGTTGTGTGTCTACATGCTACACTCCATGCAAGAGGTGGTTTAAAAATGTTTTTGAATTTGAAGTCCCCATTGCACTTTTGACAACTTGTGTTGAACTGTGTTCTTTTTTTTTAAACGCATCCAGTTCCTTTCACGAGTAAATCAATTAAAAGTAAACACAAGAAGCTTTTGCTACAAAATAGACCAGATTCAGTAAAACGTCCCATTCCAACAATTATACCATGATCCCTATTTAAAGCAGTGAACAGTGCTGACCAACATGCCATTGAGGTAATCAGGTGGGAACCTTTTTTCTTCATTTTGTCATCTAGTTGGGCCCAACGCACCTCCAGGAGGCTAAACCGTGATCACTGGCATCCAATAGTCACTCCCCTTATGCCAGTCATCACCACTCCTCACACCACAACTATGTCTTCTACCACCAGAGTTGTAGTTAGAGGCACAGTTTAGCCGCCCCAGTCTCTATACCCAACTGCATCGGTAAAAACTGTGTGGAGGGGCGTACAACCTGTTTCAGGTAGCAATGAAGGCAAAGAGGGTGCTGGAGGTAGAGACATTATAAGACACCAACCAAACTCAGCTAAATGCCTTCTACAAGCGCAAGGCTTGTGAGGCCATTTCCCTGAAAACAACATGCTTTCTTCGTAAATCTACCCGATTATCTCAATCACAAGCATCCTCTAAGCTTCCCTGCCTCCTTACTGTCTTTTTACCTTTCTCCTCTCGAACAAACTGAATTGCCACCATTTCTGCCTTAGACCAACCTGCCTTCCATACCAGCAGCTAAGGTTTTGAATACTTCATTATGTCTCCATGTATACTGGCCTTGTGACAGACTAACCTTACAGCCCGACAAAGAGCTGCAGGACCTAAACATATCATTTCAAGTCTCCATTTACCCAAAGTTGTAGGTTCTTGTGGGTTGGCCATGAATCATGTTGCCACTCTCAAAAATATACTCCACAAATCTTTCCAACTAAGCTTTCTCTTCTCAACACCTTCCCAGTTCAACCACTATCTCTTCTTACCCTGACCCACTGCTTTCATTGTAATGAACAGGAACAGAGGAACCAGAATTCAGACAGAAAAGATTAGATAGTGATAGAGAACTGCAGGTTCCGTTGGCTCATAATAATCTGGCACTCGTGACTGCTCTGAGAGCTTGTTATATAGCCAGAGGTGCAGTTGGATCTGGTGAAGGCTGATAAGAACTAAGCTGCACAGGTGTGTTGAATGATCTACCAGACCAGCACTAGTGCCAAGTTCATGACATTGATACCTCTTAACATTTCCTCCTGATCCACAACAAGAATTCTCTTGCCTAAGACTTGCTTCTGCCTCATGAACTGCCATTCTTGGATTCCTTTTCCTCCCCTTTGTCTAGTTTAGAACCACTCTAATAACTACAGCATCTTTAGTCCCATCTAACAGGAGGTCTGTCCTAGCTTTGGTAGAATTAAACTCCACTTAATACTGGGAGCTGGAGTGAGTCTTTCCCATTTAGTTCCATATTACTTGCACATCTAGAAAACATGTTTCCAAGAGCACCTAGAAACGTCATAATGTAAGAACTAAGTAACCATTCCATTGTCTCCCCAGCAGACAATGGAATCTCATACACAGACAGTGGGCACATCAATCCAAAAAGCAATCCAAACTGCATACACTACAGCTTCAACTTTCCTGGAAGCCCTGAATTATCTATTATATCCAGTCACTTAGCAACATCTTTCTGAAACTGCCTGGTACCACTTCCCCATTGCCTATTTCTAGCCTTTGCCAACCTGTTATGAAACCCGCTGTGCTTTGGCACAGTTTAATGTCCAGACAAAATGCTCAAACTAGGTTTACAACTACTTTCGGCACTTTGAAATAATCAAACGCTTTACAAAGAAGGCTTTGTGAAACTGAACCAAATGCATTTGTTAAATCCAGAAATATAACATGCAAGACCTTTTTCTCAATCTTGGCTGTCTGAATCTGATGCCAAATCATGCTAGTGCGAAACCTAGTATTCCTGCTATCTGCAGAGTGGCGTCTAATAAGCCATTCCTTTCTAAATAACTAGCTAATGTCTCTGCAATTGCGCTAACAAAAATCTTCCCCTCTATATTTAGGAGAGTAATCATTCAGAACTGATTCAAGTCTGAGGGCTCTTTCTCTTTTGGAATAAGGATGCCTCCTGTCGTACACCATGCTCTAGGAATCTGTTTCTCCCAAATTATTCTTAGTTGCCACCACAAGAACTTTATTACATCAGGTGCACTTTTATAAACCCGGTGCCGGACTCCATTTGGTCCTGGGATCAATGAAGCCTTTGCATATCTGAGTCCTTGCTCAACCTCTTTCCACCTAGGTGATCTAACCTCCGTCTCATGAGCCATCTCTCCTCTCAGTTTACAGCAGATGTTTCACACAAATTCACGTGAAATGTACAACCAACTATTACCATCCGTTATCTATACTGCTTGTTGTTGCCTAGCAGGGTTGTGGGAGGGCTAGAGGCTATCCTAGCTAACATTGGACGAGGGTACATAACTCATCACAAGGCCACACATTGGTAAACAGCCAAACATTCTAACAGTCACTGCTAGGGGAAGTTTAGAGTGGTCAATGAACCTAACATGCATGATTTTGGGTGGTGGGAGGAAGCCGGAGTAAACCCATGCAAACCACACAGATAGGTCTCTGATCCAGTAGGGATTCAAAACGGAAACCCTCTAGCTGTGAGACAACGGTGCTAACCACCTTACCACCCCACATTTGTTATCTTTTTTTTAAATTATAACTGATTGGGTATCTCATCCTTCGGTGGATTTTCTTTCTTTTTCCCGCTTTCATTAGTTGGAAAATCAAACTCATATATGGCATCCCACATCCTACCTATACACCCATTATTCTGTCACCACCTGTGATTTCAAACAATTAGCAGAAATGCTCCTAGTTTGATCAAAAACGTAAACATTACATGAATGAGAACTGATAAATTTTAAGACTTTATGGGTTGTTTGTCAGACAATGTGGTTGGCTGCGTAGAATAGGGCCATTAAACAGGACTGTGTCATTCAGTTTCTTTTCACCCTGTACACCTTTTATATCAAACACATCAAATGCAAGAAGACTGTAGAATACAATGTAGAGTACTTTGTTTCAGTTAATAAAAAAAAAACGTAATTGCATCTTCAAATGCATCTTGAAAGTATTTAAATTATGCGTTCATTGTAAAGCAATTTAATAGAAATGGTTTAAATCCAAATGAAATGTATTTGAATTTTAAATGAGATTTTCAACTGGTTTAAATTTGAAAAGGAAAACAAAATCCTTGCAAAGGAAAATGAATGCACCACACCTTTATCCACAATTTATTACCTTGTCCCGAGGATGTGCAAAGCAACAGAGAAGTGGATACTTTCTCAAAACCCTTATGTTCTTCAATCTTAACAGCAACATTTTACGTTTCTGTTTCTGCATTTAGCAGACGCTTTTATCCAAAGTGACTTACAATGCGGATACATAATTACAGTTTATGTCGAAGCTAACAATAACCTACATCGAAAGATATCACCAGTCAGAAGGGGAAGTTCAGGAAACGGGACTGATTTTTTACTATTGGGCGGGCACATTATTATTTAATTGTCTTCAATATTTTCCACACTTCATTGGAATCAGAAGTCTGCTTGATTGGATATTTATTTTCTTTATTTCAAGATCCACATGTCACGTGTTGTTTAATTCAAACCTTATACCATCTGTGATATTTATGTTGTTTTATCAGTTAAAGAAACCACATTTTTTCTCCTTGGTTTGTATACATATCATTCCCTTCATAAATCTATTTGTCAGGATGGTTTTTCTCTGATGCTCTCCCTCCTGTCCCACCTCCAGCTGTGACTACTCCCTCAGACTGAGAAATTTCCTTGCAAAGGCTGTAAGACCACTTCTTTTTTTTTACTCTAACACCCACACCTGCGCCCCAACCCAAACCTACTGACTTGAATATGTTTTAAATATTCCTTCATAACCACATCCATCATTATTTTATTCAAACTAGTCTTGAGAAATTAACCTTTCAAACTATATTGTGCCTGTTCTAACATGGTGTTTCTATAACCTGCTTGGTCATGCATTTGTACCACAGTTTAATTTATAATTTGGTTTATTTAATTTACCTACATTTTGGTAACTGTACTTTGCAAATTTAGGCATTCCTTCAGAGTAAAAATAGTATAAACTGAACTCCCTGTTGTGCCTGGTTTTCGACCGCAGTCACCTAAGCATTACTTTCCTTTGCCATGATTTATTCTGACAAAAATACTGTTTATCTAATTCACCAAAACATTTCCAACTCTTTGATGTCAAGGCTGAGCTATTAATTTGTTCATAATTTAGTTTTTAAAAAGATTTTCAATATATACCAAAGACAGTGCTGACAAAGGATGAATTTGTTTCCTCACAAATAATGCCTGGTGGAGTCCAATTTTTCTTAAAACTGTGCTCGGTAATTAAAACGGGCAGCAATAGCAAAAGGGATGATGAGAAACTGATGAGAAAAAACAGAAAAAAACGGGAAAAGGGTAAATTAGAAAAGGCAACAGAGATGTAGAAGGACACAGGAAATGGCAACTATGACCTGCATTCAAACAAAAGATGTAGAACGTAAAACACAGAATAGACGAAGACTAGAACGCCAACTGAGAGACAGAAATAATAATAATAATAATAATGATATTAATAATAATAACAATGATAATAGAATGGGGTGTGGTGGTTAGCACCATCGCCTCCCAGCAAGAGGGTTCTGGGTT